TCAGTAACGTGGGATTATAATTCCATTCATTACCAACAGTTGTGTGAGTGGTGTTTGAGTAAAAATGTTTTCTCCTAAGATAAGTATATTTATGGCTGACTTTGATTCTATTATTTTTAGAAGAAATAATTTATTCTTACAAAACAAATGTTATCAAGAGGTTTGTTACTGTCACAAAGAAGGCTATCTAGGTTTTTAAAAGACTGCAACAAATAATTCAGAAAGTCATTTATAAATAAGGAAATATGTTGGTGGGAAATTGAAAATCACTAATACATTAATCCCTCCTGTAGCAAAATGCTACACTATTAACAAATCAATTGAAACATTTGTCGAGGAATTTAAACAGATTCAGAGCAATAATACCATGTATGAGATTTAAGGACCAATACAGCTAAACAATACCTTAACCAAATAATTTTCCTTAATATGAGAGGTAATGTTTCTAATATTTCCTTTAAACAAGATCCCTTATACACAAAAGTTCCTGATTTCATACTTTTGTTCCAAGTTATTTACCAATGTTCAGCAATAAGCTAGCTGTGAGGACACAAGGAGATATGAGAGTATCTCTGAAGAGCGAAATATACTTCTTTTTGTTGGTTAATGAAAAGAATGGTCCTGGAGTAGAATCCAGAGGGGGAAAATTAACTAATTTTTAAAGAAACAAATGTGCATGTGTTCAAAATGGTTGTATGTAACACCTGAGAAATTTTTAAAACCTGCTGATGACCTTAATTTTCTAATTGTTGGCTAAATAGATTCTTGGCTTTTTCCCAATAAAATTGAGGCATTAAAAAAAGAAAGAAAGAAAGATTAAACAATGACAATGTGTTAGGTATTAATGAAAATAGTTCATAAACAGTAAGTTCAAGGACATATCACTCAACATGCAACACTACCCCATATTCTCCAATGCAGGTTTTGAAGAGACCAGATTTCTTTTTGTGTCTTTATATTTACAGAACACAATTCCTGTTTGCTGTTTTTTAGAGGTTCACTGTGAACCCTCTAAAGGTTTCTTTATCATTTAATATTATAAATAATTATGTTCCTAGGCGGCAGTTCAAAGCTCAGTACAGCACTCGTACAACACCACAGGCAGGTCAGGTGACCTTTCTCCAATTCTCCTCTCTCCGGTGCTGAGGACAGACAAAGTGATATGTCTGTCATACGCCATTACCATTAGAACAGAATCTTGTTCTTTTATTACAACTGAACTCCGCCAGATTTCTCAGCAGGAATGCTAAGTGAAATCAATGTCTTGGATTTCCAGGCTGAGCTTGGAGGTCACAGCCACTCTATCATTTCTCAGCATTATCCTTTCTCGTGAGCGCACACACTCCCCAAGCCTCCAACTGGCACACAGCAGATTGAAAACAGCATGCATCAGAGGACTCATGCTGTACAATTTTACAGTCTTTTGGAGCCCCCTCCTTTTGATTCCCCCCCCCTTCCATTTTTTGCAAATTGCAAATAAGTTTTGTTTGTGTCCTTCTCTAGAGTTGTGAGTCAAAGGCAAAGGCACACCTAGAAAGAAGGGCAGGCAATAAAACCCAGAGAACATGGCTGATTTTTGACAGCTGCCAATAAGATCATTTTTCTTACATCATCACCTAGATGTGACTGACAATTCCATTGTTCCAAACAATAAATAGATCTTAAACATAAACCATCAGTTTGGTTTACACTGGCTAGGTATGCAGTCACATAAAGCCCCTTAATAAAATAACTCTATTTTATAGTAAAATAGACAACAGAATTCACCAATAAAACACACAGAAAAATACCCCCAGGACACTAAGAATTGATTGTTTAAAAATACAATTATAACAATAAATGATAGCTATTTCATATAAGTAAAATTGCTTTATGAAGTGAAAATGTTTATAATGCCATGTATAAATGTCAGTTTCAAGCTACAAGATACTAAATTCATGTATTGAAATGGGTCCTCCTTTTTTACTGTTGGTTCTACCTTTTTGGCCATGTTCTTCATTAAAATGACAACAGCAATATTTATTGGTCTAGTTTTAATGTCTTGAGCTAAAACACAAGCACATTTAAGACATCTTTTCTAACAATAAGAGTGGTTGTAGACAGTATGATAGTGGATACTGAGCAAAGAAGGGACATATTTTTATCAAATTGTATTATTATCTAAAAAGAGGCACTTTATTGTTGGTCAAACTTTTTATGCATTTTACCCAAATGCAAATGGGAAGAAATACATCTAAAGCTTTCTTAGATTTTACATGATAGGAAATTCACAAAGGCTGATTTTTAAAAAGTTACTGAATTTTAAAGGTAACCTGTAAAATATGCTTTAAAATCATGTATAACCATAGGTATAGAAACATAATTCACTTTTTCATTAGTGTGGAAAAATGGAGGTATATGAAACTATAGAAAATGGAAGAAGATTCTCATTGAGATAGGTATCTGTATGCTCTGCACCTAGTCTATTGGGTTCTATGAACTAGAGCCATAGAACTCAGAAAGCGGTGTGCTAGTCTTGGCAAAGTCAACCTTCAAACACTTGGGTGTTTGCCATGGTTACTGAAGGAAACTATCATTGTAGCAACGGCTCAGTAAACCTTTGAATGGATGAATGAGTGAATGAATAGACCCATAAGCAGCTGACTGACATCAAAAGCTTCATGATTATTGGGTAAGTAATTTGGGGAGAAGATACTAATGATCAAAAGTTATTCAAGAGGTAAGGGAAAAATCCCATTAGATATTTACAAGTGAAGTATATACTCTAAAATCATAAAATGAAATGTCCTAATGTAAAGCATTATTATGAAACATGATGTGAAATCACATTAATAAATCAAGGTTAAAAAAAAACAATAATATCTCACAGAATTGTGTGTGACAGTGACTTTGCTGCTACAGCTATTTACTTTACTCAAAATTAACCTGTACATGCACTATATTAAAACTTCTGGTCCATGAAGACCCCAATATACCATTGCTTTAAAATAAATTTTATTTGGGGCACCTGTTGGCTCAATGGGTTAAGCCTCTGCCTTTGGCTCAGGTCATGGTCTCAGGGTCCTGGGATCGAGCCCCACATCGGGCTCTCTGCTCAGAAGGGAGCCTGCATCACCCCCTCTCTGCCTGCCTCTCTGCCTGCCTACTTGTGATCTCTCTCTCTGTCAAATACATAAATAAAATCCTAAAAAAATTAAATTTTATTCAACTAATGTTATAATTATTACCAAGTTTTAAAAACTATGTTCTACTGATAATAAAGAAAAGCAGAACTTATCTTTGGTGTACATGAAGTACAGAACATGCAAGGCCCACTACACAACTGGAATAGATCTTAAAAGGGGAGTTTGTACATTTCATAATGTCCCAGCAGTGGGGACAATAATTTGAACTACATATTTGCACATATTCCTGGTGAATCCGGTCAAAGTTCTTTGTCCAAGTTAAGTTGTACTCTGAAATGTATTTACCTCTTAATAATACGAAAAGGCCTCAAGAGTTTTGGGGAGATGGAAGCCAGAGTACCCGTTCTCAAATGATCCCTTCACCTTCCCAATTCACCCTCTGAATTAACTGAAAGGCATCTGTCATTACTGTTAATGTCATTACTGTTAATAATTACATTAACTGAAAGGCATCTGTCAGGGAACTAGAGCAGGATTAAAAATAAATTCTTGGGAGTTTTTTTTCTCTTTCAATACTTCCTAAATTTTTTTTCTCTGTGTATTTCTTTCAACTGTTGAGGCTACTCTCAACCCTGTTACTCTTTAGATATTTCCAATATGGCATTTGGGGAAGGGAAAACAGGAACAATTTTCTAGGTAATCCAGCAAAAGACAAAACATTGTTATTTTGAGGGTAAATTACCTGTGTCAGTTTTCTCCTTAATACTTTCTAATAGAAAATATGTGTGGTCTTTTCCCTGAGTAATCTCAGGGAAAAATACTTTATGGTTACTCTTCTGTCTTCTTTCACAGAGAGTTTAATACATTATCATCTAAGATCTTGAGATCTTACAAACACAAAAACATTTCAAATTTAAATTTTTCTGCTTTTCTTTTCCAAGATGAAGAGTAACTTGTTTGACTCTTTTCCTTTCCAATCCTTTTCCATGTTTTCTCAAGAAATGTTTCCTTGGGGGTTCCTGGGTAGCTTCGTCCGTTAAGCGGTCGACTCCTGATTTCGGCTCAGGTCAGGATCTCAGGGTCTGTGGATTTTGAGCTCCACGATCAGTGGGGAGTCTGCTTGAGGATTCCCTCACCCCCTTCTGCCTGACCCCATGCTGGTGCCCTCTTTCTTTCTCTAAAATAAATAAATAAATCTTTAAAGCCCAGAGAGCCAGTCTTCATTAAAAAAAAAAATTAAAAAAAAAATAATAATAATAATGCTTCCTTAGTTTCCAAAACAAAACTATTTCTAAATAGTCTTACTTCTAACACTATTATTATCTTCATATCTTTCATGAAAATTCCATTGGGTGAATGATATATCTAAAATTACCTCCATACTGCTCCTCATCATAACAGTTACTGACATTTCAATAAAACATTTCCTGGATGCCCTGTCTGTACTCATATTTTAAGCTGTATTTCAGGTGCCCCTTTTTTGGAAAACCCCTCCCGGGATCTCTCATCAAGGGTAACATCTTTGTCCCAATACTTTCCAAAGCACTTGTCTGTAACTCTGTAAGACTTTGTACCATAGAATATGGTGATCTATTTTGTAAGACTGTAGGCTAGCTGAGTATAGCATATCTATCTAATAAATCTTGGTATCACTCATGTTTCTTATTCTAGCTAGCTACCCAGGCATGCTTGTTGAATGAATGAATGGCTAAATATATGTGTGTTATTGATCCTTATCAATCCTACCAGACTCTCGTCTCCTTGAAGATCCAGAGGTTAACCCAGTTACAGGCACATAATAGATATTCAGTAAATGTAACCAAAGGAAAAGTTAAACTCTAAATGGCAAGACATGTAGCTTCTTCAAAAGGGTACCTTGCTTTTGGGTGGTGGGCTGTTTGTGCTCTTGTCTGTGTGAATGCTGGTAGGAGATACAGCAGCACCGAGGTTGCCTTGGGGTATGCCTGGGAGCTTTCCTCCTGGAGATACCTGCATGGCAGCGAGCTGGGCAGCGTACAGCTGCTACAGGAGGCGGAGGGAGAGAGGAGAGAGGGAAGAAAGACCGTCAGTGATAAAGTAAGTGCACCTCTTGGAAGGACCTCTATTCCGACGTGGTAGTTTTCCTGCGGGTGTTCTTGTTTACGGCTCTGGAACATGTAAAGAAAGAAGTTGTCACCTCAATGTTCACAACTTCCTTCTCTGGGGAGAAATGACAGAATCCACATATAAGGGATTTCAGTTTCAGGACGTCCATGGACTCAAAACAAATAACAGTCATTCATATTTACTCTTTCCCAATGTCTGGGGAAGACAAGCATGTCCCATATTCAGTCAAGACCTCTTTTTGCTCCATTTTAAAATGGGCACAGTGTGCTACAAAAGGACACAGCTTCATATGCAAAGTAATTTTCTTACTATCCATATGGGTTTAAGTGTGGTAATTCCTCCGTTTTTTGACTTGTTGCAATGGGCACCTGTAACTTTTTTTTTTTTTCTTCCCTAATCATTGGTTGTATAGAAATACAAAAAAGCCATTGAGGAGAATGAAAGGAGTGTATTTGAAGAACATTATCTGGTCTACCTACCCTGAAAAATATTAACTGGATGCTTGCCAGAAGTCCACTTTATGTCATGATATATAAACACAGACAAACCTGAAATTATCTTGAGGATTAGGGTTTTAAGAATTCTGTCTGAAACATGCAATCTTCCACTAAGTCACCACATAGTAATTCTTCTTAAATAACCAGTAGAAAATTCTTCAACAAATCAATTTAATAATAAAAGAAAATTTCACTTTGATAATAATTGTCATATGATAGGGTATCTTAAACAAGGAGGTTGTTTAAGATTCAAATAGTCACCTCAAATATTTAGGTTAATTCTCTTTTCGTCTCCATTTAGCAGTTTGTGAAAATTTTAAGATCTGGTTGGAAAAGAAATTAACGTGTGTGTGTGTGTATTCAAGCTATAACTTCTGTAATAAAAAGACTGATACCAAAGGGAAAAAAGCTCTCAAAGGAAAGTACTGTGACATAGCTTATCTTGATCTTTCTCTGAAAGAAATTTCAAAAGGATAAAACTGCTCAGGATAAGCCAGAGATCCTGATAAGTGAGGTCTCCTTAGAAATGAAATATTGAAAACTGAAGGCAGGCATATAATTACATGAAAATACACATACATTATTCACAGTTTCCAAATACTATGGTCTAAATGAAACAGATCATTAAAATTATTGATAAAATGATGGGTTTTTTAAAAATGACAATAACATAAGATGTATTTCAGACAAAGAAGCACGAGAGGAGTATATTTGTACTATCAATAATGAGTGTTCCTTCTCTCCAAGTTCTGTGTGTGTGTGCGTGTGTGCACGCACACAAATTGTAATAATTATATTCTTTATTTCAGTCTGTGAGAAAGAAAAATTTATGATTTAATTCATCAGTCTTAGATTGCAAACATTAGAGTAAAAGGTTATGATGTTAAATACAATAGGAGTTTATCACTTTTTTAAGTATCAGATTTGAGGTGCCCGGCTAGCTCAGTCGGTAGAGCATGAGACTCTTAAGTATCAGATTTGATCCATTTCCCACTCTTGTGTTAAAAACCTTTTCATTATTTTCTATAATTCAGAAAAAATAGTATTTTTTATCCTCATCCTAAGCTGTTTATGAAGTTACTAAAAAATAATGAACATCCCAAGACACCACTTTGCATAGTAAAATTTTGTCCAGTCAAATATATGTACTAAATTTCATATACTGAATTAAGAAAAACATTTTAAAAATAGCCTGGATAGTTATATTCTATATTATAAATTTCATGTTATATTATATATTATATCCTTGTCCTTAAAAACTATTTCAGTAGGTATTATTCTTAGAAGCTAACAATCTATATTACTGGTTTAGTATACACTGAATTTAAGATAGCCTCATAATTACTAAAGATTGATGAGATATTTTAATGTCTGTAGGTAAAAAGAAAAATGTGAACAAAGTAACTATGCAAAATTTTAATTTGATTACTAAAGAATTATTTCATAATTTGAAAATATTTGACTATTTGTGTTATTTAGATAATTAAATAGATGGAACAATCACTCAAAAGGTGATTCAACGCTCAAATATCAATCTCTATAGACAGACCCCCAACTTCTAAGAAGTATAAGAACTATAACTGAAAATACAAGCATAAACATACTCTGAAATACTTTATTGAAATTAAAGGTTGCAGATGACATACACTTGGAATAAAAAATGTCATACACATTCTTTCCTCATTCAAGTAAATGCATTATTTTATCTTTTTAATTATGAAATTAAGGTTTATCTTAATTAAACTGTCCTAACAGATGCTTTTGAGGAAAAAAAACCCCTATATTTGTAAAATAGACCCGTTTAAATATTTTTACAAGAACAGTATGGTATCACCCACTTTGCTGGTACTTTTATGGACTATAGAAATCTAAAGTAATTTATGATGAAAATGTCAGATGCATATTAGTCAATCAGAGTATGGTTAACATTTAGGTAGCTCTTCATTCCTCTCAATCTCCCACATCCCTTTCCTCATATTTGGCTTTCTCCTGCTTCACCAAGTTTTAGAAGTAGGAAATACCTATTTCTAATACATTTTATTTTGTGTGAAATATATGTGTTCCTTAAATTTACATTATATTACAGAAGCATTAAAAAGGCCTCAAGTCTCAGAGAATCTAACACACTTCAAGTCTGCACAGGTAAAATAAACCAGAAATTTTAAGACTTCTGGGTCCTAACTTAATTCACAAGGTAAGAGGAAATTTCAGTAGTTTCAAAGAAGCTGACTATACTTCTCATAGCTGGCTACTATGTAAGGCTGGGCAACATACCAAAAAGAAAAAAAAAATGTTGCTGTAACTTATTTTAATACAACCTTTAAAAAAATTAAGTTCATTTATCTATGCATGTGTGGGCTGACTAATTTTATAACAAGGGAATCAAGACATGATGAATATTTTATTTCACTTATTACATGCTCTTGAACCAAAATCAAGAATAACAATAGTTATTTGTATTGAATGAGATCTACAATCACGAAACGACTGGTTGATCTTGTTGAGATGGAAGGGTCATAGACTGTAGTGGCAATTGGAAGGCCACCTGAATTTAAAAGCATCCTGTGAATTACAGAACCCACTTCCACATGATAGATACACCTATAATTGTGTGTGTATCTGCATCTTAACTATACAAATTTTTTAAACAAAAATCTGGCTACCATTTTTCTTTAAAAGATTGCAGATAAACCCAGAATTAAATATAAGGTGCATTATGATAAATATACTTTTATGAAAAAGTTAGGTTGTTCTAAACATCAGAAACAAATTGGGAGATCCTAAGCATAAAAAGCTAGAGCTTAAAGAGAGCACTCACTTCACAAGGTTAACCAGGCTAACAGAGTAACTGTTTTGCCTTGCAGAGTAAATTTACTCTTATCTTGAAACTCTTGTGTTATGGATTTATTTTAATCTCTAAAGCTCCCCAATTCCACAGATCATTAGGTTTTCTACTCTTTATATTACTTAAAATATTGCATTCCTATTCCCTTTCCCTTCCTTTATTCCTATCCCTACTTCAGACAATGATTTCTTTTTCTTTCTTTCTTTTTTTTTAAGAAAACAATCATAAAAATAAGCTGGAATCTATCCACTGATTACTTATGGTCTTCCCGGTGCTCATGTGTCTGTAAGTGTGTGTGCGTGTGTGTGTGTGTGTGTGTGTGTGTAAAACTCACGTTTGTTTCAAATTGTTCCATAAACCCACATTTTTTGTCTCTTTAACTCTTTCAAGGACCCGTGGTTTTCTACTTCTAGTGTACTTCTACTGAAACAGTAAAAGTAAGGCAAACCTCAATTCTAATACCAGTTCTGAACTAGTGACCTTGGGCAACTAAACTGAGCCTCACAATTCCTTAATCTGCAAAATTCAGGGTAAATAAAACTGACCTTATATGCTTGCTGTGAGAAATAAATCACATAATGTGTATAAAATACTCAGAAAAACACATGGCAAAGAAAGCTTTATCAATATGCAATAGTTATAATTATTAATGAATTAATTATGTCAAGTAAGGAACTGACTAATGCATGACTTCTTACTATATACTCTGGACTGTGCTAGGTACAGTGGAGGATACAAGCAATGTATAAATATAGTTTCTTCTCTAAGTCAAGACTGATAAACATAAAACAATGAGAGTATAAGTGTACTATAACTGTAAGCCACTTTTAAGGGTGTGAAGGGAAAGGAAATGAGTCAGTGTGAACTGATTTTTCATAGGAGAGATATAGCTAAGCTGGAAGTAAAAAAGGAGGTGGCATTCTAGGAAGGGAGAAAAATTTAAAGGTATAGGAGCAGTAATGAGGTAGCTTTTGCAGAGGGAATACAGAAGATGTGTGGAACAGTGAATGGGAGAAAGGATAGTGACCTAAGAAACTAGGTTTGTAAGCTAGTTCACCTTATAGAAGATCTTCAAATAAAGAGTTTAAATTTAACATGTAGGCAAGAGAAAGGCACTGAATTTTTGAAAGCAATGTAAGTGATGGTTCTAACTAGAATGAAGATATAACAAGGTATCCGTTATGAGCTTATCGACATTTAGCAGCAATAATTTTAATGGTAACTTGAGTTGAGGTAACAGTTGTGGAAATGAAGATGGAAAAAAATGATACCAAGTCCACAGCACAGTGGGCACATAAATGACTACAAATTAACTGGGGAAAAGAGAAAAGAAGAACAGGATGAATAGTATAATTTATAGAGTGTTTATTTCACAGATATAATATGTAAGTATTCATGTATCACATATTCTCATTTGTGTATATAGTCATTATACTATCTTGCATAACAGCTAAAACACATGGATTTTCTTCTTCTTTTTTTTTGAAAAAAAAAAAGAAAAAAAAAAAGAACTAAGTCACACAGAGAGACTTCCCTGTAATTGGTATTGTGATAGTGAAAATGTTAGAACCATT